GATACGTGAACGCCAAAATGTAATTGACCAACCAACCAATACTTCTTTAGAAATAAGTTTACACCAACATTATCCTATATTATACGCAATGCGGTCGTACAAAACGTTGTTTTGTATAAAATTTGTCGGTGGGAAAAGAAATTCATATTTTCTTGTTAAGATTTGTTGTTGTTTTTTATGAATTTGTTGACTTTCTCTGTGAAAAAATCTGTTTTCTTAAGGAAATTTTATTAGAAAAGCGTGTCATTGTTTATATAAAGATAGGAAAACCAAATTAAGTGTACAAACTTCCCCTTTTGTTTTTATTAAGCGCAAAAATATATAAGGTATACAGAAGTCTTTTTATTCTAATAATATTTTTCGTCATTTCAATTATGCTCCAGACATCAAAATTTTATAGATCATATCAATAAGTTTCACCTTAAAATTTTATGTTTTTACTTCTTAAATACAATCTTCTGCTCCAAATATCGAGAAAGACGAGAAAAATAATTTCCCAAAGGAAATAAAATGCGAAAAGAAATTAAAAGTTTGTCTTTTTACAAAAAAAAAATCAAACCGAAAAGTTGAAAAATTTCTTTTTAGTGCTTTTGTAATTTTATTTGAACTCGTCGGGCTTGTAATTAATTAAAAGTTGTGCAAAACATTCAATGATTTCAAGTCTTTATTTTTATGAAAAATTCGTAATCAGGTGAAAAAAAGGTTAAAGCAAAATTATGTGATAATTATTTTTAATCAAGGACATTTTTCATTGTTCTTTGAAAATTAAAAAAGTCTTTAAATAATTAAAAAAATTACAAAGAAGGTTCGTTTTTTTTAACATTTTTCCATGCTATTTTTTAGTGTGAAATTTCAAGGATCTGCGACATCGGACGTTTAATTCTTTTCTTTTACAAAAATATGTGGTCATCTACATTTTTTGTACTTTTACATTAATTCTATATGATCATTTTTTAATTATCTTGATTAACGAATGTTAATAAAAAATTTAATATAAAACAATCCTTTTGTGTATTTTCCTAACAATTAAATCTGAATAAATTGCTGTTCCTATTATAGTTTACTTCCAAATGTTCACATAGCTATGAAAATGTTCCTTAAGCACTTTTTAAAAATTATATTAAAGCTATTGTAGCTCTTTTGTGGGCCATACTTCCTAACAATTAAATTTGGTTCTTATTACAGATTCACTCTCTGGAGTCCCTTATTTGATTCCTTAGATATTGTCGAATATATAAGCTTTGCTTGTAGTAAAATACCAAGTTACACGATTTACTCTTTCGTAAAATTGTAAGTTCAACGCGTTACTGGCATGAAAATTAGCCAAATATCTTTTTTTTTTTTTTTTTTTCTTTATTCACGCCTAGAAGGAGCATGATTTCTCATGCACTAGTTTCATAGCGTCATAGAGTTTAACTAGGTAGGTGACTAGTCTGCCGTTTTATTTATATTAATTATTTGAGGTTATTAATATTTACAGTTTATTTTTCTTAGTTTTTCTTTTTTTTTTTTAATATCGAATATTAGGAATATTTGAAAATTACTTGTATAATATTTATTAGTATTGTATATTAAGTTATAATAATATTGAATATAATTTTTATAGTGATCTGACCGGGGTTTGAGCCCGAGACCCTTCGGTTAAAGGACCGGTGCCATAACCACTGCACCAATGGCCAAATATCTAAATGAACATTATTTGGAAATGAAATTCTTCCCAATTATATTTTAAGCATAACATTGACATAGATATTCTTGATTGTTTTCCATTTCATTAATTAACAATAAGTTAATTTAGAAAAAATCATAAATTTGGTTTCAGAAAAATATTTTTCCACTTAATATTTACAAAAGGTTCAAACCTTCTTTTATCAAAAAAAAATAGTATTTCTTTTTAGATTTCAAACAGACACCATTAATTTTTTTACCATATTGTGTCAGAACACACAAAATTCAAAGATAATATCAAATCATGTAGGTGTATAATGTACAGTTAAGTAACTATATGTTAATACAATTTTAATATACACTCTTGAAAGTTAAATAATGTGATATTAAGGGTTTTGGGTATATATAAACTTTGGATACATCTTGGAGAATTGATAGGAAAAAAATTATCTTGTCAAAGTTAGTATTAAAGAGGTTTTCATCACTTATTTTTATTATACTTTTTTTCTATATCTTTATAATTCTTATCAATCTGGTCCCATCTGCATTATATTGTTAATATATATTATTATTATCAGGATAATTTGATATTTTGTATATGTATATGTCTACATTATGGAACAAAACATAGTATTTGTATGAGTGTTAATAGAAAAATACTATAAATATATTTTTTGTAATATTATAAAAGCTCAAAAACACAAAATTTTGGGATGGGTTCGAGATTATCTTAGAAATAAATAAAAAAAGAAAAGGAAAATAGTTCAAAAATTGAAAAATTGTAATTAAAGTGAAGTCCAAATATTTTTGAAATTAAAAGGAAATGAAAATGATATTTATATTTTTGGTATTAACTAGCTTATACAAAAGATTAGAGCAAAAAAAAGGATTAAGATATTGAATTTTTATAGTTAATAAATGGTATTGAATAACAATAACATTTGGAGGGTCATTCACACATTTTTCTTATCCTTAATCTGAAATAGGGGCAACTGAACTTTTTTCATTTTAAAAAATTACACTTTATATTATATAATAATATTTAAATATATATATGTATTTAGATTTATATGTTTTAGCTAAGCTTTAGTTCCTTAGCTTGATGTACAAATTATTTGTGCACATTGAGTTTTTAAAAGATCTAGCGATTGAAGTTTACATGATAATTGACTTGAAATCATTTGCTTCTTCATCTAAGTGGTTGAACATGCTAAATTTAAATTTTATAGTAAGTTGTAGCAAATTAAGAACTCTATATATTTTTAGTAATTTTTCATATAACGTATTAAGAATTAATTGCCTCTCTTACTAAAGGTGGTCTCTTTAACACCGAATTGAACTCAATATTTTGTTCATTATTTATTAAACAAAAATTTTCTTTAGAAATTTTTCTAAAGGAAACTCCCAACCTCAATTAACCTCAATTTTATAGCCCGCCTTTAAAAAAAAGTGTATAAGCTTTAAAGAAGTTGATCAAGCCGTAAACACTTTATTTGGATCTCTTGCATTCTGAATGTTGTAGTGCCATAGTATACTTTTACAAAATTTCGAAAAGCTTTTAATTTCTTCTGGAAGAGGCGAATTTTATTCAATTTTATTTTCTACTATGTATGCTAGATATACTGGGGTAATTAAAGTTATAAACTTTATGAACATACAATTTTTTTTTTAAATTTTCTTGGCAGATGACGTGAAAACTAGAAAAAAAAGTGTGGTAATTTTTTATTGTTGCAACTACATTAATTTGTAAAACATTATTTTCGTGTTTTTCAAATCTTTTGTAAGAAAATTGTGGAAAATTGCAATTGTGGACACAGCCTATGAAAATTTTTGCTTTTAAAGTGTTTTAATAGAAAAACTTTAAAAGCAAAATTTTTTTGATTAAACCCAGCTTATTAAGAAAATTAAGGATCACTTGAACACAAGCCTTTACTGTTTCCTTTTAAATTTCAAATATAGTTTTTTTTGTAAAATATTAGAATATAACAATTGAATGAAACTCTATAGTTTCGCAAAGCGTATTCAAGAACACATAAATAATTTTTTTCTACAAAATTCATTCTTCATTCAAAAATTGGCAAACACAATATTCTGCTTATAAAAGTATAAATTGTTTTTTTTTTTTTTAATTTTTACCTATGTTTCCATTTATTTAATATTTGGCATACATAAGTACCTACTATGATAACAAAAATTTATATACATACTACGCAAATACATAACAATATTATAAACTACTGTCCTTGAAATTTAGCTAACATACTGATCTACTTTCATTACCATAGCACAAGAAATGCCAAGAAATGGAACCAAAAAAAAAAACAAAAAAAATATACCAAGACCTTGTTCATTGATATCATTTTTACCATTAACATTAAAAAAAAAAATTCTCCTTTATTTTTTTGCATAGATTTAGGCAATTTCCCCTTTTTAGAGCTACAATTTACATTTTCTGAACTTATTTCTCATTATTTATTCACTGCACAAACCACTCTGTATTCAGCAACTGCGCATGTATGAACCAATTTTTTTTCAATATTATTTTCGGAATTCATTTCATTTTCGATATAGATACTTATGTATATTATACTGTTATTTTTGTAATGTTAACCATCTTAACGAATTGAAAAGTGGTAGACCGGTACAGCAAATATAGATTTGCAGAAAATACTCATTCTAACAATATTAACAGTAAGAAAATATTCATTTTCGAAAATAATAAAAATTAAGTACAAAAAAATGTTCTGTTCTTTTTTTTTGTTGGCAAAGATGAACTGTTAAAGTCTATCTAAATCCGTCATACATAAAACTTGAATGAATGGTAAAACAAATTCTTAAAAGAAAAAAAAAGAGAAGAAAAAAAAACATAAAAATGTTTCAATTCTAAAACTACTAAAAGGAAATTTTTCTACCTGAATCATTCAGTTGCTATTAACGTCCGTTAGACGTCGGTTGGTGTTCTTTTTTCTCTTGTCTCTTTTATTAATTACATTGTGTATGTGTGTATGTTTCATTAATTATAATGTCAAAAAAATTTTGTTTTTTTATGTGTAATATTCTGAATAATTAATAAAGTACTAAAATTTAGTAATAAAAAAAATACTCGTATTAATAAGAAAAATTATAAAATAACAAAAAATTGAAATGTGGATTTACTTACTGTCAAAGTTTTTCTGTTTTCTTTTCTTTTTTGTATTTTTGTTGTTCTAATATTTTTGCGAATTTTTAATTTTTTGTTTTTTTTTTTATATTTTTATTTCTCGCTTTACTTTTCCTTTTACAATATTTTCTCAATATTTTTCAGTCAAATGAAATGAAGTGTTGTGTGGAGAAACTCGTCGAAAGAATTGTTTAAACACTGTAGAAAATGTGCACGGGTTTTTTTCTTTATTAATTTATTGATATTCGGAGAAACATAGTGGAATTAATTAATTATATTGATATTTGTTTATACATTTGTATTTAGTTTTATTTATGTAAATTATTAATTAATTAAGTTTTATTTATTTTTTTTAAATATATATAAACAAATATTTACTGTGGAATACCTAACATATTTATAATTGTATGTTTACAATAGTGGTAAAGTGCTGTGTTCGAATGTAATTTCAAATGATTTAAAATAAAGAAGAAAACGTAAAAATTATAAGTGTTATAAAAATATAATAATTATAATTAAAGCATGTTATAAATGCGTGACAAAATGAAATTAAATATATTAGTAAGAATATAGAAAAAGCAAAATGAAAAAAAATTTTATTTAAAATTATAATTTTTATAGATCGCAAAAAATTTTATTTATAAACACAAAATATGCAACTGTGAATAATTAAAATAAAATTGAGATTTATTTTTACATAATAAAAATGAATTCTATACCGAGAGAGTATAGTAATTTTTGTACTCGTGTAATCGTGTATAACAATTTAATAAGTTATTACTTAAACGCTTACTATAGAAACTTGTGAATTGCGTTTGGATCTTTTTGATTGTTTTTCTTTTTTGTTTTTTATTTATTTATTTCTATTTGTTTAAAATCTCAGTAGAATAATAATATAAACGTGTACAAACATTATGTTTGTTTATCAAAATACACGGCAGTTACTCGTAGAATAAAATATTCGCATACTACAAAAAAGAAAAGAAAAATAAAAAAAAGAAGTGAACAAAAATTAAAATCTTTGCCTCTATTTCAAGGTTACTATTGATTGCAAATATGTATTAGGGTTAAATTATAATATTACATAGCTAATAATATTTATAATTCATTAATCTCAATTTTGATTTTACTCTCTTACAATAAACAATAAAGTTGATGTAATATTTAAGCAAAATATTAAAGCCATGAGAGAATTGTGTTTTGAGTTCTTTTAAATTTTTACTAATTAAAGAGAAATTAGCATATTTATTTTTTTTAACTCATTATAATTAATGTTTTTATTTTTGTTTATTTTTGTTTTTGCAGTTCTACCAGTTCTACTTTCTAAAATGTAAAGTGTACGTGTAGGTAAATAATAAGTGATTACTAATTAAAAAAAAATTTAATATTAAAAATTGAATTTTACCTAAACGTAATTAAAAAAATTTTCTTTTTTTAAATTTGCCGTGAAAAATGTTATGTAAATTATTCGTATATATATGTATTTGATGCATTAAAATTTATTACAATAAGAATCTAATAAAAAATTCTAATAAAATATAGGTGACTACTTATTATATTATTAATCTAATATTAAACTATAATAGATTTAAGTCCTACATAATATAAAAGTATATACAAATAAAAATTCGTGAAATAATGTTAAAAATTAATAATATAACAGAAATTTGCAAAATAATAAAGAAATAATATTGCATAAAAGTTATATTAGATAGTGAAATTTCTGATAGAAAGGAATTCATTAGAAGAACATCTAAGCAATATTTAGTAATGTGGATATTTAAATTGTTTATAATATACTTACCAATAATTGCAAAAATTAACTAAGTAGGATTCCTATACATGTTTAATTTTTAGCAATTTTAACTAGAACAATTAAGTATTTTTAATTACTTATATAAGTACTTACTTACTTTGTAAGTTAATAAGTATGATATTTTTTTAGTAAATTGGAAACTGATGGCCATCAATAATATTGTTAATAATATTATTAATTATTTATTTCTTGTTTATCCGATTTAATAATATAGATAATAATTATTTAAGTAATATTATAGTTAAATCTATATATTAATGTTAAAGTAAGTTTAATAATTTTTTGTTATTATAACAGAATTAATAGGTATATAATATATTGTTACTTATTGTGTATAGTATTTAATTTTAAAATTTTATTCAATGAGTAGGCATATTTACTCAATTGCAATAAAACACTGTTTACCTTAAGAATTTTAGACAAAATATAAATTAATTAGGTATTTTAAAATATGAACTTGTCAGAAATGAAGTGTCAGAAATAATATTTCTTTTGTCTTTTGTAATAATCGAATAATTGGTGAATTAAATTTAGAAAAATTAAATTTGAACTGTATATTAATATAAAAGTGAATTTAAAGTTAAATTCATCGATCTATAAATTTGTATTTTACGAAAAAGAATTTAAGAACATTTTACATATTTCAGTTTACAATAGAAGTAATTAGATTTGGTTATAAGTATATTATATAAAAATACGTACATCCTAACTTGCATTATATTTGTATAATTAAAAATTTCAAAAAATTTGAAAATTTCTTTGATAAAAATTATTGCATTTTTATCGACCAAAATGAAAAAAATGCCCATGCAATAATTTCCAAAAACCAAATGAAAAATTGTACTTTAATTTTTGTTTTTATGTACGAAATATAGGGTACTTCTATACTTACTTGCAAATTTATAAATAAAATCGATCAATGTTATAAAACAAAAAAAAATTATCAAAAATAAATGAAAATTCTATAAATAAATTTAATTTGCAGATCACTTTTTTTTTGGTTTTCTGAATTTAGATGAAAATTAAAAATATTAAATAAGTAAGAATTTGAAATTTATTTTTCTTATTCTTTTGTTTTTGTAATATTTCTCTCGAATAAAATAATTAAAATTTTATTATTAAAATATCAATATTTTTTTTTTTGTTTTTTCTTTTATATATGGTTTCAAAAAATTGAATAATACATTTATTTTACGTGCATTTATTATAAAAATATAAACTTGAAATAATGACAGTGAAATCTATTTCTGCATAACTGCGGAAGACATGATTGGAAATTAAATTCCAGTTTGTTTCAAATTCTGTTTCTATTTGAAATAATAAACAATAAATTGTTTTTGTAATGTATATAAAATAGATATCTATTGGAATATTGCAAAACTACCTATTTCGTTATCGAATAAAAGATTACTACAAAACTAGAAAAAATGCAGATTAACTTACTTACTATACTAAGTTTTAGCCTTTTTTAACCATAAAACATGTTTATTTTTATAATTTTTTGAATAATTAGCTCTTCTATGCGCGTCCTTAAATTTTTTTTTTCAATTACAATAAGTATTTATGAGTTATAATTTCAAAACATTGTGAGTTTAAAAATTTTTGTAAGCATAAAGTGTCGAACCATAAAACTCCTATCCTAAAACTCAGGATTTACGGTATTCAAAATAAAATATTTTACCACCAGACATAAGAATTTGTTTCTAATAGAGAATTTTAATAACTCTTGCGTAAATTGATTATTTAACTAAACGAATAATAAAAAAAAGTTGGGCCAAATGAATGGTTTGTGATGTAGCAGTTCTCCCTCCAACAGTTTAGCATTGTACTGCATTATATAAAATTATTTTCATTCATATACGAATATATTTCAAAAATTGCATATCTTTCGGATGATACGAACGTATTCAACATAATGCTCGATTTTAATGGCAAATTGCGTGAGTTAAGAAAAATAATTAATTTTTTAGTGGCATGGAATTTACTGTTAGCTTCTTGCTTTTATAGAAATTTGAAAAAGCTTGAAGTTTCTGAAATATTATATGCCAAAAATTCGAATTTTACAAATTTGGACATGCGATAACTTGAGAGCGGGTGGAGGTGGAAAAAAATTTTCTTCTATCGAAATAAACTATTTTATACTAAGTGTCTAAGCTGTTAAAATTTCAGATATTAGATAACAGTGAATTTTAACGGCCATTGTGTTTTCTAAACTTAAAGTATGATGTGCCGCGGTAAATAAAGCAACCCACTGCTTTTCTGTGTTTGCAATATTTGAAAAATGTTTATAGTTTCATTGCAATAAATAGTTAAAAAAAATAGCAATTTTAGGGTTTTGAAGGGATATAACTTTTACAGGAGCGGAAATAAGTAAAAATTTTCTTTATGGAAGCATGTTTCTAGTAAAACTCTATGTACGTAAATTTCAGCGTTCTATCTTCAAGGATGTAGAAGTTTTGTAAACAGACACACGGACAAACGGACGGGCGGACGGACAGAGTGAAACTAATAAGCACTTTTTTTCAAAAATTTTTGGACAAGTGCTAAATATTTAGGCTACTTTTCAGATTTTCACACTCTAGTTTTGATCCTCTTATATTTGTTTACAAATAATTATAACAGCGGTAGCTCACAGCACGAGTTCAATTTACTATATTCTTTTGGGTAAAAAAAAAACTCTCAAAAAAAAAAATTTTTTTTCAAGGAGTTTGCAAAACTTTTTATTTTTTATTGACAAAAACAAAAAAAAATTGCGAGATTATGGATGAATTTTCCAACTGTATTTTTACTATGAAGTAGTTTTAAAAGTTTTCTAAAATTTAAATCGGGAGAATAATATTATTAAATATAGGTATGCACTTACAGATATCTATATCTTAAAAATATATATATTAAAATATTTCTACAATAATATTTTTAAGATTTTCAAAAGTTTTCTAGTAAATCTGTCCTAATATAGTGAATGTGTAATATCTTGTTTTTCTTTCGAGCTATACTTACTTTTAATATGGTAATAAGTAAGTAAGAGATGTGAATAAGAAAAATTTCTTAATAAACTTTTTTATTCAAAGGAAAATTTTTAAGTTTGTTTAAGAAAAAAAAATTATTTATAATAAACGTGTAATTTAGACTTGGGGAAATTACTATTTTATGCTTAATAAGGTGAATCTTTTTGTTTTTGTGAATTGGAACGTATATTATACGGTCAAGAAAATTGCTTCATATGGGAGAAGCCACTAAATGTGATTTCATTGCAATTTAAATTTAAATTATTTAAAAAAATTCTCTCACTTAATATAAAAATAAATTCAGTAATTTAATGTTCCCTATGCCATAGCTAAGTGTTCTTTAATTAAAAATTTAATATATGAGATTTTGATTTTTTTAAAAGTAAGTATGTCTGCTTACTTCTTAAAGTCACAAGTAGAACTCGCACATCGGAATTCCACTGGTAAAAAAAAAGTAATTAAATTAAATAAAGGAATTACAAGATTTGTTTTCAATTGATAGAATTAGTGCCATTGTCCGAAGCCAGTATTTTATAAGAAGTACCAAATATTTAGAATATGTTTGAGTAAAAATATCAGGTTTATTTGACTAGAGTTGTGGTTACTTGCTTGTTAAGCAAATAAAAAGAATGCATCTTTAAAAGATTGAATAAAAATTGGTATACCATATATAGTTTTAAAAATACTTAAGGCCCAATACGAATTGGTGTTACTGTAATTAAATACACTTACGTATTTGTTTATTTTTATAAATTTTAAGTTTATGCATAATTACTTGCATGAATATAAATTGCAAGTATGCGTGTATTTATAATTTTATTAGCATGAGTACTGCGGTGCCTCTACAAAATGTACCGAAAATTAAGTAATCCACAAAATGTTTTTTATAATTTCATATACATTATGTATTTTAATACACATAAACACCTATAGTTACATATGTTATACATTATACATGTATATATACTTCGGTAAATAAAATTATGTAAATACAAATGTATTCATAAACAAACATACTTATATGCACATTTTTTTTATTTGTTCGTTTCATTGTGCATGCTTATAATTATTTAATTTACTTTGGCTTTTTAAATTCAAAGTGTTTACTTTTATTTTTCAATTTAATTTCATTAACATTCCAAATTTTCTTCGAAAGAATTTTCTTTTGCATTAGAATTTAGTAAAAATTTTTGTAATATAAGTAAATGCATCAGTGTGATAAGTAAGTATTTAACGTATATTTATGTATATTGATATATTCGGCGGCAGCTAACTAAAGTACTCTGAGGCCCACGTTACGGCCGAGGCAAAAGCGAAAATTGATTTCATTTATCATCAAAATTGTTTAAGTTATTACTTTTATTGTAAGGATTTTTTTTTTATTGAAAAAGGTACTTATCAAGAATATTCCATTAATACTCGTATTAATAATATATTTATTCATATTTAGTTTTTGGTTATAAAAATACTACTAATGCACTTAAAAATAAGTCCAGCCGATTTTATACTGTTATAGCATTTCCAAAATGCAGAAAAAAAATATAGAACAGAATTTAAGCATAATCTCACTAAATTATGTTTTAGCACTTCCCTTATCATCCAAAAAAAAATTTTAAAATTTTCAAATTTTTCCTAATAATTTTGAAAAAAAAGTTGAAAACCCTTTAAAATTTAAATAATAATATGCTGTTTCAATTCGTTCCGTAGATATGATGAAAAATGTAAAATCGGCCCACAAATCAGTTTTCGAGCCCTGATGTTTCCAAAAAATTTATATGTTCATTGTTTTAATACGAGCAATTCAAATATTAAATTTCAATAAAATCGGTTGATTATTTCTCTTTATATACACAAAAATGTATATTTGGCCCGTAGTAAACGTCCAGTTGCTGATGCCTGATTTCTTCCAAAAGTTAAGAATTTTCGCGGACGATCGAGCAAAGCTCATATATGAAATTTCAAGTAATTCGGTTGAATACTTTCTTCAAAATGTTCAAAAATGTAAAACAGGCCCGCTAAAAAGTGCAGTTCCCGAGGCCTGATATATCCCAAAAGTTGATCAATATGTGCCATGGTAGAAATAAACTTACATATAAAATTTCATCAAAATCGGTTCAGTAGAACTTGAGATACACGCGTGCACACACAGACCGACAGACCGACGGACCGACAGGTTACTAAAAATAGATTACTTACACTTCCCTACTATGGAGAAGTGCATTCCCACCGAAAACTCGATATGCAAAATTTGCTGCCATCACATAACCTACCTATTGTTTACACAATACGGTCAGTAATTATAGTTAAATATAAGAGATGGTGGACACATACTGGCCATTCAGAATATTCATTATGCTCACGCCAAAATACAATACTAATAAAAAATATACACACAATATGTGTACATGCTTGTACAAATTTAAAATAACTATGTGCACACACTTATTATGTACACAAAAAATAATATATATACATTCACATAAATAAGACTTAATACTTACGAATCCTTTTTGTAGACAATGAATTGTCGAAAATTTAAATATTTTAATGGCATACTTATAAATTTGCATAAGTGTGAACAATACTTATTTCTGTATGTATATCATGTTTAAAGTTTAAAAATACATATGAATATAGCCAGATTTGTTATATGAAGAATCAACGGTATTCATGGCATCAACGGAAATATGTATAGTGCAAAATGATAACAACGGCAGCATAAAATAAGTACTTTAGCTTTAATTAAATGAAAAAACCCTTTCACATTTTTAATTCTACCTGTTATTTATACTACCCAGAGTTTATTGTTCAAAAATTTCATTAAAAATACGTACAAATTTATTTGCTCTTCCTCGTTTATAAGGAATAGGAATTGAATGTTTTTTAACAAACTAGTGACAAAAGTTGTTAAAATAATTGCTAAAATATTAAGCAATAAAACTTTGTGCTAATTTTACTGCAATTTACTTACTTTAGTACCTAAATCTTTAAACAAAAGTGAATTTTCGAATTTGGATTCTAAATTATAACTTTCATGTTATCGTAACTCTAGCAATTTATTTGTAAATGTGCGGCACTGTCCATATGTAACACAAGTTGATATAATAGTATTGATTTATGTTTTTTTTTTGAATATAAAAGAAAATATACAAAAAATGATTACGTCGGCATGTTATTTTTAAAGTTTGCACGATATTTCGTAAAACAGCGGCTTTCAAAAAGGGAAAAATAAAAAAAAAATTTGAAGTAAAAAGTAAATAAAATAAAATGGAAGGACAAGTAAAAATCAAAATGAGAAAAATAAAAATTCATAATAAAAAATATTCTCTAGGTCAAGGCTGTCATATTTAACAATTATTTTTTCGCTCTTTTTTTTCTATTAAATTTTCTGTCCCTTTTTCTCTATAATATATTTTTCTTTCTAATTTATATACACAATACAATTTAAAATTTTAGTACAAAAAGCCTTTAAAAGCAATCTTTCATTTTGTGGTTTTAAGGAAATTTTCAAATTGTGGCATGTTTGTATTTTACTGCATTTCTACAGCAATGATTTATTTGTTATTCCCTTTTTTGTACACTTAAACAATATTGTATTAAAATTACATTATTCTACTACAACAGCCATTGTATTCACAATGGGAGAAACTGAGAAGAAAAATATTTGTAAATTAAATTAAAAAAAATTTTTTTTAGCTGATTATTTTTTAAAATAAAAGGTTTTTTTTTTTAAATTGCTTTTTTGTACATACAAATTATAAGTATTTATGAACTTTTCTATTATTTTTATTATTTAAAAAAAAATTCTATTTAATAAACATTTCAAGAATGTTAAAGTTAGTCAAAGAACGGTAAAAATAAAATTTATTTCAATGTTATTAAAAAGTTATAAAACGGTTTTTTTAATTATTCTCTCTGTTGTTTTTTTTTTCAGAGAAAAAATACTATAGAGAAGAATAATAAGTTTGGAGAAATTAATAAAAATAATTTTATTATTAAAATAAATATTTAAAAAAATAAAAGAGTAAATAAAAAAAAATACATAATAATAAGTAAAATTAATATTGTGTGTGTGTGTATATATTTAAATAGAGAATAATTTAAAATAGAGAGAAAAAAAAAGAAAGAAAGAAAATAAAGCAATAAGAAGAGAAACCAACCGTTCATAACAGAAGGAGCTTAAAAGGTAAATAATTTATTATTGTATTTTTGAATTTATTTACTTAAATATATTTTAAAAAATAAAAAAATAAAAACAAATAAATAAAAGTAATGAAAATTTCGTTTTAAATAAATATTTTGTAAGTATGTTTGTTCTTACATATGTATATAATATGTAAATTTTCATTATAATTACATTACATAACATGTACATACCTCCTTTTGATTATCTTATGAAAGTTTATTGTTTTCTTTCTTATAATTACATACATTCTACTTTAAAAATTCTCTTATTTGTCTATTATTAATTAGTCATATGAAAAAAGTTCAAAAGTTTAATTGATATTTGTACAAATTATGTAAGTATGTGTATCGCCCCCGCTTTATAGTAAACTCTTGTTATATGTAACAAAGTACCTAAACAGTTTCCAGTAATCAATTTTAAAACTTCCTATTATTCGAAAATTATTAATTTTTCATTTCTTATTTGAAAACTGGTGCAATCAGATTCATAGTTTAAAAATAACTAAGTATTTAAGTACATCTTGATCAATTTCAAGAAAAATTTATTCATTTTTGTAAAATAACAAAAAGTACTCCACACACGGTTATGGAATGAGGCTAAAATTCATTAAAATGATTTTTAGTTGGGCATATAATGAAATAATAGTTACGACCATAGTTAGTCAATTGAAATATCATCCAAAAATTTTACTTCAAATTTCCTAAACTGCAAGAAATCAACACACCATTTTATATATTCGACTGAAAAGAACTGGCCGCAAAATACAAAGTAGATTAAAACAACTGGAAAAATGGAAAATTGCACATTCTGCAAAAACGTTTTCAAGTGAAAATGTTTATGATTATAGGTCAAACCAATGGTTTGCTGTAGTAGCACGTTTCCCTTCAACAAGTGAAAATACTGCTTTTCATATATTTGTATATCTACCACACTATTAAAATTATTTTCATTCATATACGAAACTATTTCTAGGAATGCATATATTTAGGATGAACGATTTATGCAGTCTTTGAAATAAAGCAAAAATTAATTTAAAGAGGGGTTAGCATAATTCTCGATTTTAAGGGTTGATTGTATGAATTAAGAAAAATAATTATATTTTTTAATATCATGGAATTTGAAAAAATTTCGAGAAGATATAACTTGAGGGGGGGTGGAGGTGGAAAAAAATTTTCTTCTAACTATTTATTAATGTCTGAAAGCTGTTAAAATTTCAGACTTTTGCAACCTGGGGTTTAGGAGACAAACGACATCAAAAATTTGGAAAAAACTATATTTTATATAACGGCAAAATTTTAACAGACATTTTGTTTTTTTAAAGTTCAAGTACAGTATGCCGTGATAGAAGAAGCAACTAAATGCTTTTCAGTGTTTGCCAAATTTGAAAAAATGCATATGGTTCTACTACAATGAATAGTTTAAAAATGATATTTTTAGGATTTTGGAGGGTATTGATTTTGGTATTGAGATTTTGGAGGTTAGGTAAAAATTTTATTCTACGAAAATTAGTTTGAAGTAAAGATCTATGTACATATATAGCATTTCAGGTTCTATCTGCAAGGGTATAGAAGTTTTGTAAACAGACACAAGGACAGACGGGCGGACAAAGTGACACTAATTAGCACTTTTTTCAAAAATTTTTTAAGAAGAGTGCTAAAAATAAATAAAATTTATACTTTTATTGCAACGCGTAATGTACTACCATTAATGTACCATTTATTAAAGTTGTACTCACTCATACATTATGTAGTCAATTATATACTTTTACTGACAAAATTATTTTTATATACTTATCTTGTACACATATACTTAATAGGTACGTCTAGGAATAATTTCCAAAAGTTCTTGAAAAATAATTAAAATGTATTTTATTACAAAAATTTCATTTATGACTTTTATGACAAAATTATTATAAATGCTGTTTCATTGAAAATTTTCATTATTTTCTAAATTTAAATAAATAAATTTCAATTAAGTGCTTTGAAACCCACGTAAAATGAAAATTAAATTCACAAAATTTAGAGTAATAAAATTTAAGAATTTACGAAAAAGGGAAACAGGGTTCAAATTTTTATATATACACATACGTACAATATGTACTTCTACATTTACGTAAATGTATAAACCTTTTTTTTGTAAATTCTTACAAAAATTGGAACCATTAAAATTTTAAGGATAATGTTTTATATCTCTTTAAAATCTGTGCTTTATTCCATGATTCTTCATATTTATTTTTTATATCTGAATTCACATGAAAAATAATTAATTTAAATTATTAAATAAATAGAGTTATGGATCGTTTATTAAATTTATTGTTAAATTATTACAAAAAACATAAAAGTATGTAAATTTTAGAATTTACCAACAAACTATTGGAATTTATACTTAGATAATTTCGAATTTGGTAAGGGGTGTTTCTTTTCAAATTAATTTTAAAATCTTAACCTTTGGTGGTGTTTAATAAAATATAAAATTGTTTGCCTTCCAAATAATTACAATAATGAAAGGAGTTTCCTTTAATAGGACTCTTATTTGGTGAATCATATAAGTACGGAATATTAATTCTAAAAATTCGAAATTTGAGCTTTTTCCAGTTTGTATAGGTGCTCCAAATTATATTATATGAGTTAAGAAATTGTTTTTTATTTCTTATCAAGGTGCTTAATAAATTAATAGTTTATTGACAATTGAAAAATTTTTTTTTTGATTTTCTAAACAAAGATATACCAAAATTATTTAAAATTTTTTGTTTTATTTATGGTATTCCCACTTTTATCTCACACTATAACTTCGCAATTAAGTGGTATAGTTACTCAATTCATAAATTTATCCAGCAACTTTATTTACCGTTGTAAAACTATGTTATTAGATTTTATTAATAAATCTTTTAAATTTTAGCAGATTTTTGAAATTCTGCATAATTTTTGTTTTTCTTAAATATAATAGAAATCCAAAGTTTAGGTGACAACCTTATAGAATTTTCGGAATTTAATAGAATTTTCCTGGATTACGAATTTGATTGTGGATAATAAAATTGATTTTACATCTTACTTTTGTGTTAAACTTTGTATGTGGTTTTTTTTATTGCCAAGTACCGAAGTGTTACTTTATAGTTAATAATAATCATATTGACCTTCTAGTATTTGAAATAAGGTTTTTTTTGTTAAAAACTGGTGAAAGTATACTCTGTTTATTTTTGTCACATAGTCCACATAAAAGTGGAAATGTTTATGAGTACTTGGTGTTTAATTGAACGACACACATAAATATAATATGAGAAAGCAATTCTATTTGGTTTTGATATTGGTAGCATATTCAATTAAAAAATTTATAAAGTTGGGTCAAACCAATGGTTTGAATTGTAGCACTTTTCCCTGCAACAAGTGAAAATACTGCTTTTAAATACAGTCTTTGTATATCAATCACACTATTAAAATTATTCTTATTCATAAACGAAAGTATTTTTAGGATTGCATATATTTGGGATGAACGATTTATGAAGTCTTTGAAATAAAGCAAAAATTAATTTAAAGAAGGGTTAACATAATGCTCGATTTAAAGGGTTAATTGTGTGAGTAAAGATAAATAATTATATTTTTTAATGTCATGGAATTTATTGATAGCGTTTTATGTTTTTAGAAAAACTTATGGTTCCAGAAATATAAGGCGTCAAAAATTGAAATTTTACAAATTTCAAGGGTTGATAACTTGAGAGGAGGTGGAGATGGAAAAAAATTTTCTTCTAACGAAATGAAGTATTTATAAGTGCCTAAAAGCAATTAAATTCCAGGCGCCCACAACCTGGGGTCTAGAAGAAAAACGACTTAAAAAATTTGGAAAAAACGGGTTTATATATATTTTAGGTAACGGCAAATTTGAACGGTCATTCTGACGGACGGACAGAATCAAACTAATAAGCACTATTTTCAAACATTTTTAGGAAAAGTGCTAAAAATTGGAAATTAGATAATATTTGGTTATCCGCTTTTAATCCGCTTTTATGTATTAAAAAAATAGTGTGAAAAAATGTGTATTCCTTCTTAAAAAAATAAACAAAATAATACAAGTCTTAGTGAGCATGAAAAATTCATTGGAAAATTTACTTATTTGTGGGAAATTCGAGTTTTAGTATAATAATGTTGTCGAATTTTAATAATAATGTTGAATATTGAGATTTCTTTATGTACCTACTAAATAACTTTAATTTGTATTACAATTCGACACTCTTAATTGCATTAAGCGAAAACATTTTCATTAAAATTTTCATTTTGTAAAATTTTCCATAATAAAATTTTTGAAAATCGTTGTGACAATACTAATAATTATTATTATGATCTAGCTTTTTTATACAAACTAAAATTGAGCGAAAATATTTTAGATATTTTATAAAAATTAACAATAAAATTATAACTGATATTTTATAGCTTCAATAATTTTAAAATATAAAACGTAATTATATTATTTGATTTCTTAATTATTCATGCAAAATAATAGCAATTTAAACAATTAAAACCTTAATTTAATAGCTATGTATATATATAGAGAATTGATTGATTACAATAAATTAACAATAAACATGGCGTACAATTATACTTTTGTAAGCAAGTATACATATACATTTGCACATATATTATGCAAATATATAAAAATTCAAATTAAAATGAAAATTTGTTTTGTTTCATCCTATAATTGCACAAAGCGTATTAATTTGCTTAATTTGTTTATGAAGGAATGGTACATATTTATATTTGTAATAATTTCGTACAAAATTATTTGAAATGGCTTTGGTTGCTAAAAACAGACTGTGTATGCTTCATATCTAGTAGATCACAGAACACAAGTGTGTCATACAACTACATTGATTTGAGTCGAATCCAAAGAAAACCTTAAGATCTAAAAATAACTTTTTTTAGATAATCGGGCATTAGACTCCTCAATTTTTCTAATCATCGAAAATTCAATCCACTCTCTGCATGAGCCCACGTTTAATCTGCCTCAGA